GCTCTTGAGGATTTCATAATCTAAAGGTGCTCATTTTGGAGTTGGGCAGATGTGGATTCACGCCTGCTATTTATTAGCAATGTAACCCTGAGCAAGTGACTCATCTATTTGGAGTCCCCCCCCCCATTTTATTAACCTATAAAATGAGCATAATGCCTCATATCTTACAGACTTTGTGCAAAAACAACTTGAGGTCATTTATGTAAAGGACTTAGCATAATGCCAGATAGAGAAACTCTTCATAGCAAGTTCCTTCCTGCCTTGGGTGCAGGGAGAACAAAATTATGAAGGATGGCCATACTAAGGTGTTGAAAACGTCTTTTCTTCTCCCTCCTAACTCCTCCTCTCCTCTCCTTACTGCATTTGAATACAGTTCAGTTTCAAAGTATTTCTCCTGTGTTCAAAACTGGGCATAATACTGTTTCTCTGGAAAAATGGCTGATTCCAAATTTGCGACCAGGGTAGGTAGTAGGTGAGCCTGGAACATCTCATTGTGCTAGAAAGCAAGGAAGTGCTCAGATACTGATGTTGTGTCAAAGGACAGAGATTACCTTGAGGAGGCTCCTGCAGGCCAAATTTGGCATGATTTTGAGCATGAAAAAATGATCGAAATGGATTATAACATGTTGAAAAATAATTAAATCTAGTGATATTAAAAAAAGGGAGGGGTTTTCCTTACAGAAAGTCAAATGAATAATAATATGAGTGAATGACAGAATTAGAAAAATCGTTTTGCAGCAACTAATTCAGGTGAAAATCATCATGGATGCTAAAGTCACTGGATGAAAGATCACTGGGGAATAGGGTATTCATTACAATCTCGACTATTACTCCACAGATTACTTATTAACTACAAAGGGAAAGAGTACCTTAACAGTGGAGAAATATGACAGACACCCACTTAACCAAGTTTCTACCCATTAGAATCACCAATGAGACAAACTGATATTACACATGGTTGACTCTTGAAAGTGGGGTTAGGGATGTTGACCCCCGCTGCCACAGTCAAAAATCCTCATATAACTTTTGACTCCCCCAAAACTTAATAGACCACTGTTGACCAGAAGTCTTACCGATAGCATAAACAATAAATTAATGCATATTTTGTATGTTATATGCATTATACACTGTTTTCTTAAAATAAAGCTTGAGAAAAGACAATCATAAGGAAAATACATTTACAGTATTTATTGAAAAGAATCTGCATGTAAGTAGACTTGTACAGTTCAAACCCCTGTTGTTCAAGGGTCCACTGTACTTCCTGATGTAATACAATGAGATATAAACAAAATCATCTATGTAGAAATTCCCCCCAAAAAACTGCTTAACCTAAACCTAATTATGAAGAAACACATGGAAACACTCAAACCCAAGTTGTGGGGTATTATTAAATAAATAAAATTAGGCTGGACTCTTCAAAATAACATCATTTGGGCCAGCTAAGTGGCTCAGTTGGTTAATAGCTCGCTCGAGAGTGCAAGCTCTGGGCTGGCCGAGTGACGCGTTGGTTAAGAGCTGGCTTGGGATGCCAGAGGACCCCGGTTCGGATCCCACATATGAGGGCCAGTGACACTGCCCTCTACAGCTAAGATGCTGAACAACAGCTCAACCTGGAGCTGGGCTGCTGTGAGTCGCCGGCGACAGCGTAGGCTGCAGCCTCTGCAGGCAGTGGGTTGCCATGGGCTACCATGTGTGTAGCCAGCAGCCAGCGGGAGCGGCCAGCAGCCGCAGTGAGCAGCCGGCGACTGATCTGCCTTGCCTGGGAAGAGCGCAATGATGGTGCCAACTTGAGCCAGTGAAGCAATGTCCTCCACAACTAGACTGAAGAACAAAAGGAGAGCAACTTGTCTGTTCCCCTTCCCCCAATAAAAATCTTTAAAAAAAAAGAGTGCGATCTGAGCAACAGGGTCGCCGGTTCGATTCCTGGCCCAAGCTAAGCTGCTGCTGAGCTACCAACAGGTGGCAGGATGGCTCAGCTAAAAAACAAACAAACAAAAACCAACATTACCAGAACAACTGAGAAAACTTGAATATGAAAAACTGAATATTAGCTATTTCACCAATGTTAAAAGTCTTAGGTGTAATAATAGTATTTTTGCTATACAGAAGAATGTCCTTTGGGATCAAACCTCTGCATTTGATTTTTAAATGAGTTAGCAAAAACAACAAAGATACATACTCACACATACATATTTGCAAGTATGTAAAAAGGGATAAAACAAGTGTAGCAAAATGTTAAAAACTGGTAAATCATGGCCCAAGCCCATCCCTACATTTAATCACACACATCTCAGTGAGAACTCTAGGGCTTTATTACAAATGGACTTGACTGCTGAGGAACCCCCTCTTCTATCTTTCTTCTCCACTCTTCCTCTCAATACATCCCTCCATGGCAGGTCACTAGGTCATTATGGAAGAGGAATCTGGGGAGAGTGAAAAAGTGCAATGTTTTCTCGAAAGTCTTCTGAAACAACCACTGAGTCCTCCTGGCTCCAGTTGAGAATCTTCTGGTAAAAAGGGTGAGAGATTTAACTCTCATCTTCAATGTCCTCCATGTCTACATCCTGGGGGACTTTTGTCTTCTTTTGCGCTTTGGGCTGTGGTTCAGTAGTTCTGGCTGGCTTTGCCGGGGCTTCCACTGAGCAAAGAGAAAGAAGCAGCAGTAAAGAACCCAAGGGGATCCAGGCTGCCCCCTCACCCCACCTCTGTGCCCTGCCTCACCTTCCATGGCTGCTTTCTCTTTCTGGGCAAGCCGGATCTGCTGGAGCAGTTTTCTGCGCTTTTTCCCAGACAGAGTAATGTTGGCACGTGCACTGGACCTGAAAGGTTGGTAGAAGCAAAGACACAGGTTAACATGAACCACACAAATGGTTCTGGCTATTGAAAAGGTCTTTGGATCCACGTCAAATAACTGTTTGAAAATCTGGGCTCTAAGGTAGTGAGTTTACTCTCAGTACATAAAGTACTTACCATTTAAAGTTAAATTTTAGTATATTGTAGAAACTTGTAAGGTAAAACTATTTTTCTCTATTCTCAATACTTCTGACACCAGATATGGGTCGTTTTTTTTTCCACATTAAGCAATTCCCCAATTCTCAGAGGACAGTGACTGAGTGTCCTACATATTTAACTCAGTTCTGACACTATCTCCCTGGAGATAGTATGTTATTACCTGTGCTTCTGACCCACCAGCTATAAGTCAGAATTCTCACAATCCCCTTCTCAGATATGATACTTTGTTCACAGAACTCAGGGAAACATTTACTTGCATTTACTAATTTATTTTATTTTTTAAAAAGATTTTATTGGGGAATTGGGGGAAGGGAACAGTGTTGGGGAATTGGGGAAGAGGAACAGACAAGTTGCTATCCTTTTGTTTTTCAGTCTAGTTGTGGAGGACGTTGCTTCACCGGCCCATGTTGGTATTATTGCGCTCTTCCCGGGTGAGGCAGTCGCCAGCCATTGGATGACCGCTCATGGCAGCTTATGCTGGCTGCCGGCCACTCACGGTAGCTAAAAGCAGCCCACTGCAGCAGGGGCTGCAGCCTACGCTGTCACAGGCGAATCACAGCAGCCCAGCTCCAGGTCAAGCTACTGTTCACCATCTTAGCTGTAGAGGGCGCAGCATCACTGGCCCTCATGTGGGATCTGAACCTGGGGCCCTGCTGCTCAGAGCTGGCATCCCAAGCCAACTCCTAACCAATGCGTCACTCGGCCAGCCCTTACTAATTTATTATAAAAAGATACAACTCAGGAACAGCCAGATGGAAGAGATGCATAGGGCAAGGTATGGGAAAGGAGCCAAGAGTTTACATGCTCTCTGCAGGTGAGCCACCTTCCCAGCTCCTCTACCAGCTCACCAACCAGGAAGCTCATCAAATCTCTGTTGTTCAATAGTTTTTAGAGCTTACTCACCAGCAACCACACCTGTCCTCAATCCACTTCCCAGAGATCAGTCAGTGGGCGATGCTTACATTTCCAATCCTCTAACCACTAGGTTTCACTGGTGACCGGCCCCACCCTGTCACTCATTAACATAAACCTAGATGTGCTCAAAAGGGGCTCCTAATGAAATAGACACTATCACTCCAAGGGTTTTAGGGAGTTCTGTACCAGGAAGCAGAAAAAAAGACCTTTATTATTTATTACGTTGATAATAAGGAAGCCATTGAAAGGATGGGATGAGAACTCTTCCCCAAGATTCAGGGGGCCTTGAAGATTATATGCAAAATCCCATATGTGCCTCTGTGAAAATTCATCCATTGTATGCAGACTTCTGTGTCAGCTTTAATTTTTACTTACAAAAATCTTTGTGAATGCACAATTTTTCTTGGGGAGATGGGAAATTCGACGGCTCTCCTTATGATTCTCAATGGGGTCCAACACCCCAAGAAAGGTTGTGAGCTACTGGTATAGTGGAGAGGCTAGCAGAGTTTAGGCACAAATACAGCAGGCACGCTCCTTGCATAAAGGCCAGTGCACAACGAAAGCAGAGAGCTGTTAGCTGCTCCAGAGCTGGGCAGGGAAGGGGAAAGAGACTCGGTAGGGAGGACCAAGGGGAAGAGGAGCATGGCACTCACGCCCGCTTCTTGAGGTGATGCCGCGTGATCAGCCCTTCGTCTATCACAGCCCCAACCACCCGGTGCTTCAGTCGCCGCTCCCGGTTCAACACCCGCCGTCGCTTGAACAGTTTCTTTTTCAGCTCCTGCGAGGAAGGAAAACGCTAATCAGAGGGAGGCCGCGCACCGCGACCTGGTACCCCCCGCACCATAGACTCAGGGTTATCGATCCTATCTGGGACGAGATTAGAGGGCTTCGGGACACTCGGGAAATAAAGTCGGTGCTCCCACACGGTCACCGTTCGGGGCCGGTTGATCTTCCCTCCCGGAGCACCCATCGCTGAGCGGTGTAGCACGCTTTGGTTCCGTATTTCCGCTCTGCGCGTAGTCCGTATAGTCCCCGCCCCTCAGCCCCCCGCGAGCCAATTGCAGCTTGGGGGCGGGTCCTGGTGCTATATAAAGGAAATGGGCCCGCTTTCAAGCCTCTTGAAGGCTGCAAAGAAGTAGGTAAGGTTTCTGTTTGCTGGCCAACGCGGCGGTGTGGGGTTTCTGGGCTGTGCCTGCGGACCCTCCTCTTCTTGGCGGGGATCGGGTGTTCGGTCTCGATCCCTGTAATGTATGGAGGCAGAGGGAAGGGGCTCCGGCCCCCTCGGCGTCATGTCTTCGGTGCCGGCGGCTTCCAATCCGCCGGTTCTATCCTCAAGCGCCGGGACACTAGGCTCCTAGAAGCAGGGCACAACCGAGCGAGGCTAAGGGAACACCTCCCTGGTGTGCTCACGCCTTCTCCTTTGATTTCAGGTCTGTGAAACCGCCCCAGGATCCGGAGCGGCCGGAGCCCTTCCTGTTCCACTTCCGGTTGCAATCAATAAAGGCCTTTCGTACAGTAATAGGTGTGTGTCCGCGTTCTTTTTTTACGAGGCTGCAGACATAGGGAGGCTATACGAACTCGTTATTTCGCAAAGCGGATTTTGCAAATTTTTCCTTAGACTTCAGGCCTCTGCCGGAGTGCTCGCGACACTGCGCAGAACATTCTCTGGCCGACCTTGCCGGCACCTGTGGATGGCTTCGCTCCGCGGAACCCTCCACTCGGCGACCTTGGCTGCGGGAACGCGCCGCGCTTTGGCGGGTAGGAAAGAGGGACAGAGTGGGAGGGCAAGCTGGGTTCCAAGTGACCCAAGAGTCTAGTCCCTGAAATCGTGGCTCTTAAAACCCCTGGTTACATTGCGCCATTTTTGCAGCCCTTTGATAGAACTCGGGCACCAGGTGACACATGCCTTCCACTCGTGTCCACAGGCTCCCTGGCCGGTAGCTGCCTGGCGGACCGCTGCCTCTGGGATAAGCTCCACGCCCAGCCCCGTCTGGGCAGCATCCCCACCTTCGACTGGTTCTTTGGGTACGAGGAAGCCCAGGGGCTACTCCTGCCGCTGCTGCATGGTGGCCGAGCTGCCTGTCCACTGCGTGTGTTGGACGTGGGCTGTGGGACCTCGAGCCTGTGTACAGGCATCTACACCAAGTGCCCTCACCCTGTGGACGTGCTGGGGCTGGACTTTTCTCCTGTGGCTGTGGCCCACATGAACAGCCTCCTGGAAGGTGGCCAAGGCCAAACACCCCTGAACCCTGGGCACCCTGCCTCCCGCCTGCACTTCATGCAGGCTGATGCCCAGAACTTAGAGCCGGTGGCTTCTTCAGGCTCCTTCCAGCTAGTGCTGGACAAAGGCACCTGGGATGCTGTTGCCCGGGGTGGTCTGCCTGGAGCACACCAGCTGCTGTCAGAATGCCTGAGGGTCCTTAGTCCTCAGGGGACCTTAATTCAGTTCTCAGATGAGGACCCTGATGTGCGGCTGCCCTGCCTGGAGCAGGGATCCCAAGGCCGGACTGTGACTGTGCAGGAGCTTGGCCCTTTCAGGGGCATCACCTACTTTGCTTACTTGGTTCAAGGCTCTCATTAAAGACTTTTAGTCCTGACTCTAGTGTTTCTGTTGGGTGAGGAGAGGTGGAGAGAGCTTTGTTTTTGCAAAATGGCTGCAAAGGGAGGATTTCAGGCCTGGCTTCACATTCACTAGCTGGGTGCACATAGTATTGTTTCTGTGCCCCAGTTTACTCAGCAAGGTAGGAATAATATCTGGACTTACGGAGATTACATACAGTGATAGATGAACATTTAGCAGGGCCAGGCACAAGATGAGTGCTGAATTGAGAAGATAGAAGTGGCTCGTTCTCCACCCCCAACTAACTAGATATCCTAAAAGCCGCAGATAGGAATTCCTAATCCAATTCCCAGCATTAACTGACTTGTGTGGCCCAGTGGCGTAACCTCGAAGCCTCATTTTTCTCATCTGTGAAAGGATGGTAGGAGGGCTCCATAAACAAACCTAGGTGAAATATTCAAGGGAAAGAGAACAGAACAAACAATACTTACTCTCAAAGCTCCTTGGAAGCAGGAGATGGGAGTAGACAGAAGCCTGTTGCTGGATCCCAGAGAGGGCAAGGGTTGGGGGCTTCCTGACATTCACTGTCCTCAAGAATCCGGGAGGCATCTTGCTCTATCTGTTCCTGCCCCCAGCTGAGTTCTGGGTTAAAGGTGGGTGGGTGGGGAAGTTAAAGAGCGCATTAAGAGTGAAAAATATTCCCGATAATATTGAATTTTTTAAAAATAAAATGAATTTACGATGCTTCTGTTTTCACTTCAGATCAAATAAATCACATTTTACTAAAAAAACAGAAAACTACAAATTTGTAATTTTTGCTTATAAAAAAATAATACAGTAATTATAATGAAGAGCCTAACTTCACAGCATCAGTTCCCTCCTGAGGGGAAAAGTATCTTCCTCAGTGGGTTCTGAAAATCATGAGGTAAAAGTGTTTAGCACAGTCCCTGGCATTTGGTAAATCCTGCCCCAAAAGTTTCTATAATAGTATACAGACATGGGAAAATCTAGAAGAGAAGACATCCCAAATGTTAACTGTGTGTAGTCGGATTTATGGTAATTTAATTATCTTTTTTCCCCTCACAATAAACTAAATTTTAAAAATACATATCTAAAACCATGATCCATTTGACATCAGGACTGCCTTCTAAAGTTCATCAACTATGCCAACCACCTTGACGTTTCTTGCACTTTAACATTTTTCTTAACGATGTTTACTGAACATCTGTGTGACTGGCACTGCTTAATGGAGGGGCCACAACTGAGTTCTCCATCTTGGTCCTGCCCAGAACATCCAGGTCACAAGGGCCCTATTGAACCAGCCACTTCCCTCACCTGGCTCTTCACTTTGGTCCTGAAAGACTTCAACCTCTTCTTCCTTATCATCAGTGAGGAACAACAGCTTCTCATGTGGCCACCAGAGCTCTCCACTCTCTTCTTCACTTACCTCAGAGGCTTCTACCACAATGGAGGGAAGATGTGTATTTTGAGAGACAACCTGCATGAGGATAGCACGGGGCTTGGGCCAAATTGGAGGACGAGCCAGCAGCGGGACACAGGGTGGGGAAGTACTAACCTGAACATCGTGGTGACTTTCAACCTTGTCAATTTCTCCTCTATCCTTCCAGAGAGGGTTGATCAGCCTAGGACTTTCTGGATGGCGGAAGGAGCCTGGGCTATCTCTAGGCAGAGGCCCATCCTCACTGTTCCCTGCTACAAGGTCCATGGGTGCTGAATCTTAGAAGTGCAGGGTGGTTGAACTCGAGTTCTGAACCCCTGCCCAGTGCACCCCATTGACTGTCCCTTTAATCTTCTTTGGAGTCTGGCTCCTTAATCGCTTCTGAAGAGAGGAGGATGACATGCTAGGAGATTAGGAGGATGACATACTAGGGCCTTCCAGGGGAGGGGAAAATCTGAAGAGGTGGGATAAGAGCTTTATTGTTACTCACTCCCTGGTGACACTGGGCAAGGCAGTAGGGATATCAACAAAGGCATCTGGATTAAAGAAAGCCCTGTGAGTGAAGAAGAACCTTGATAATAAACTTAGAACTTCCTAACTCCTTTGCTGACTAGGTCCCCCAAGTTGACATGCTTCTTTGTGTCTTAATGAATATTTATGTAGCATTTACTCTTTGTCAGGAACTATTTTAAAGGCTCTACACATAAACTCATTTAATTATCCTAAGGGCCGGCCGAGTGGCGCGATGGTTAAGAACTGGCTTGGGACACCAGAGGGCCCCGGTTCGGATCCCACATATGAGGGCCAGTGACACTGC